CAGCACCTCCAATACCAGTAGCACCTCCAGCACCAGCAGCTCCAGCACCTCCAGCACCAGCAGCTCCAGCACCTCCAGCACCTCCAGCACCAGCAGCAGCAGCACCTCTAGCACCAGCAGCTCCAGTAGGACCTCCAACACCAGCAGCTCCAGCACCTCCAACAGCTACCAGCAGCACCTCCAGCACCAGTAGTATCTCCAGCACCAGCAACTCTAGCACCTCCACCACCAGCAGCACCAACACCTCCAGCACCAGCACCTCCAGCACCAGCAACTCCAGTGTTAAGGAAACTCCAAGCTCCAGCACCAGAGCGGCCTCGCAGAACGACCCACTCACGAAGCTTCTGTTGTGAGGGTGTCTCGAGTCGACTAGGCGACTGCTGTTGTCCAACGCTAGGACCTACAGCAGGAGCACCCACAGCCCCACCACCACAAGGACTCAGCAGCCCTAGTCTCAGCAACCCCAGAACCCTCACCCCCAGTCTCAGAACCCCTAGATTCCTCACCCCCAGTGGCACCACCCCCAGTAGCACCAGTGTCCACAGCGACAGGCTGTAGAGGCAGCGAAGACGGGCAAGGCGGAAAACCAGGAGGGGTCTCCAAGCGTGGAGAGCGGCGAGTGGCCGCTGTGTCGTCAGCGGCGGGGTCACCCCCCTTAGCGGGGCCAGAGGATTCAGACGAGATCTCCAAGGGCTCAACCAAGGGGGGTGAATCTACCTAAGACACACCTGAAAGAGCAAGACCCTATGGGGGTAGGGGGTCTACCTGGGGGGGGGAACTGGTACCAGGAAGAGAGGCGCCAGGGGGACTGGGTGGGACGCATGCGGGTGGAGCCTGTAGAAACTAACAGACTCGTCAAAGGTGACGTGTTGGTAGGACAGAACACGGCGCGAGGAAGGGTGGTAAAACTGCCACGGCGGGGCGTCAGTGGGGAAGCCCAGGAAGGCGCAGCGAAGAGTGCGAGGAGAGAGTCTGAAATGCGACACTTCAGATGTCGCTAGATTTTATCAATCGCAGATACGCTGGGAAATTCCCACTTTTGTTATGTGACACGCCTTGCTAGAAAAATTGTAACACAACATTCTGTTCATTTTACTTTCATACAGTTATGACAAGTAAGGAACCCTTTGAACTTGCATGTTTCGTCGAGAAGAGAGTGTACTCCAATGCGATGCCTGATGCTGTGTTCGCCCGAGCTGGCACTGTTCGATCTCGATGGTGGGTGTATTGGAACAAAAGTTCGAAGAAACTTCGCGGGGAGTTTTCGGGAAACTTCGTCACGTACGAAGTTTCCGGGAACATTCTCCCCGATAATGTCTCATTCGGGGTCCACAAGGCTCGTACTCTGTAATGACAGGGACCGTAAAAATACTACTGTGAGAGTGTATACAAGAATTCAGGGTCCCCTAAAGTATTACTCTGAATGAACCAGTGTTGGAAACTTATTAATTCTGACATTTCAGTCTTCGCAAGGTGATAGGTATGAAATCACATCTGAAATCAAGGTCATTACCCTGATAAAAAAAAGCCATGGGTTGTATCCTCTATTGCATAACTCACTGTAACACCTAGACTAGAATAACAAACTATAATAAGTATAGTTTGACAAGAAGCTGCGCCGTTCTACAAAGGACTTGAGCGGCAGCATCAAGAGAAACGCTTTGTTTGCAGTAGGGATTGTAGTGGGTAGTGTCACAAAAAACGAGTTCAGGGCGAACCATTTATAAGAATCAGTGTTTGTGACATGGTTACACTGACTAAATCAACATGGTTTTTTGTTTACCCTGTTTCCATTAGTGTAAGAAAAAAATTACCCTAGGATTCAAGATTGGCCCACGCTGGAACACTGATTAGGCAGAATGGGCCGAAGCCAATTTTGTGCCTTGGCTCAAAACCCATGGATAGCTAATGCACACTGAGATTTGTATACTACCGTCATCACCCGGATATAAGACAGTGTTGAATAGAAGACAGTTGGTGTCTATTATCCGGGTGTCTCTTATAAACGGGGTAGCCTCATTATAAGATACCTATTTGTGTGTACGAGTTAAGCCAGTGTAGGGATTAGGGGTAATCGTGTCGCGAAGGGGTATCTTTTCAACGGTTCTTTGTCCATTTACAAGACTTATAAGACACCCTAAACCATCCCAAATACAAGACAACCCAAGCATTTTTGCCCGTGTACGAGATAAGACATATATGTCTTATATCCGGGCGATGACATACGGTATGGCTAATGATTCACAATACTAGAGAATGTGAGTGTACAAAATATGAGTTATACAGTTTTATTGTGGCTTGTGAGCCTGCCATACAAGCATGCCCCTGGATTCGTTTTGGACCACGCTGATCCATCAATCTTGGTACGGCAAAAAACGCTGACGATCAGTGTCACCTAGGAAAAAAACGCTGAAATTTCAGTGTTCGTACAGAAAAAAGCGTTGATTCTGTATGGTAAAGATTTTAAGCATTCGTACAGATTACAAAAATGAAGTGTAACAACTTTCATGGATGGATTGGGAGTGGCGAGAGAGATGGGCTAGGTGTCAGAATGTGATATTTGGCTAGTCTGCAGTAGGGTACTCTATAGTGAGTATAGCTCGGTTAGGGTTTGCTATTTGTATACCAACTGCCTGCTAGTGAAACCCCCCTCATTTGCCTAGCTCCTCTCACATCTAAGCTTCCTAGCTAAACCCTAGGTTGCTAAGTTAAGAGTCTGCTACTATTTGACATGGTATCAGAGCGTCTACGCTCCTGGCGTGTGGGCCCACATGCTTCCGCTGCTGTACTGTCTATCGCGCGCCCCGTGGCGCGCGACGTTTATTTTTTTTTTCTTCCTGCCACGCGCTCGGGGCGCGTGGCGGTTTCGCGCTCGGGGCGCGTGGCGGTTTCCTGCCCGCCGCGCGCCCCGGGCACGCGCGGCGGTTTCAGGCTCCGTCACGGCGCCCCCGGGGACCTGCGCGCTGCCCCCCGTGGTCCGTCGCGGCGCCCCCAGGGACCCGCGCAGGCCCCCCGTCGCCCGTCGCGGCGCCCCAAGGGACCCGCGCGGCCCCCGGTCGCCCGTCGCGGCGCCCCAGGGGACCCGCGCGCCGTCCCCCGTCGCCTGTCGCGGAGCCCCCGGTGACCCGCGTGCCGCCCCTCGACCCCGTGCGCCGCGGGGCTGCTTCCCCCCCGCCCCTCCCCTTTCTCCTTCCTCACCCTCCTGCGCGTGCGGCTATGGGGTTGGCGGGTATGGGGGTGGCGGGTGTGTGAGCCGTCCCCTGCTCCTCCTCCTCCTCCGTCTCCCACTGTTACAGCTGACGCTGAGGGGGGTGGATGTGTGGGAGCCGAGGGAGTGGCGCTAGGGGGTGCCGTGGGAGTGGAGCTACCGTATCACCCCGGATATAAGCGCAGGCCTATTAAAAGCGCATGCGCTTCTATCTGGAGCAATGCGCTTATGGCCGATCCTCAATTATAAGCGCACCCCCTTAAAAAACATGATTTATTATAAGCGCATGTTAGTTTTAAATTGAAAAACTGTCAAATTTCTGTAACGAAGTTCACTTTAGAAGGTGATGAGTTGAAAATCAGATTTCCTTCGCATTCAAACCCTTCACAGGCTGCGCGTCCAGTCAGCAAGTGCTGTCAGCAGCTCCTAGTGACTCATTTTGACTGTATGTGCTGGCAGGGAATCTTTCCCTGCCAAGTAGCGAGAGTTTTTCACCCACAACCCTGTTTCAAATCGACTCGATTGGGTGCGCAATGACGGGAACTACATTTTCGTGCTAGTAGTTTACAAATGTATATTTGTTATTTTATAAGCGCATGCGCTTATATTTGTTACTCAATTATAAGCGCACCCCCCTAAAAATCATGTTTTATTATAAGCGCAGGTGCGCTTATATCCGGGGTTATACGGTAGGGGTGCATAGGGGGGTGTGTGAAAGGGGGATTGCGACAGTGGGGGAGGTTGAACGCAGGTAGCCGTTGTGGAGCCAGCAGCGCCAGTAGTCCGGATGCCCTTGCTCCGGTAGCCAGCGAGCCCGTTGCGCCAGTCGCCCGTGGGTCCGTTGCTCCAGCCGCTCGTCGTAGCCGCGGAGCCAGTTACTCCAGTAGTCCGGGGCCCTTGCTCCGGTAGCTCGTGTGCTAGTTGCTCCAGTAGCCCGTGTGCCAGCAGCTAAAGCCGCCGCCTCCAATCTCCTCTCCTCTCACAGTCCCTCCTCACGTGTCCTCTATGTCTCCCACTAGCTTTGCTTGAACTTGTAAACTTATTATGTGCATGCTTGCTTTGTTGATTATACCTCACTTTGCCTATGGGGGTGTGTCAGAATGTGATATTTGTCTAGTCTGCAGTGGGGTACTCTATAGTGAGTACAGCCCGGTTAGGGTTAGCTATTCGTATCCCAACTGCCTGCTAGTGCAACCCCTCTCTTTTGGCCATCTCTCTTGCCTAGCTCCTCTCACATCTGAGCTTCCTATCTAAACCCTAGGTTGCTAAGTTAAGAGTTATGCTACTATATTGACACTAGGCGGGCCAATGGAACAGGTGGGCTGGGTGGAGGGGTGAGAGAGGCACGTGGGCTGAGGAGAGGGGAGAAACGGGATTGACAGGGGGAGAGTTGAATGGAATTGGGGGGCTAGGGGGGAGTTTCGAGTGGAAGAAGTGGGCTGGGGGGGTTTCATATGGAAGAAATGGCCTGGGGGGAGGGACAAGCGAAAGAAACGGGGCTGTGTGGGAGAAGGGAGATTGGGCAGAGTGGGCGAAAGAGCGTGTACAGTAGGCGGGAGGTCAAAAAATCATGACGTGTGCGGTTTTAGCATTGAGTCTCTCCCGCTATCACTCGAAAATTTCAGCGTACACTTGAGGAAAAAGGCTGAAAAAACAGACAGTACAAATAAAAATGCTTAAAAATCAGCCAACATACATACAAAAAAACTTCGAAATCAGCCTAGGGTTGAAAAAAAAGGCTGAAAAGACGTAAAAAGGCTGATATCTAGGGCACTGCATGCAAGACCTTCAA